ATTTGAAAAGAAAAACAAAATGAAATGCAGAGTCAGCTTGGCTTGAATTGCAGCCAATGTGTTGATGGGAATAAGAGAGAGAGAGAGAGAGAGAGAGAGAGAGAGAGAGAGAGATATTGAAGTGAGAAAAGAACAGAGAAGAGCTAAGGAGAGAGAGAGAGAGAGATAGAGACAGCTAGAGCGAAAACTTTATATCATAAACTTTATCCTAAGACAATTAGCGATCGATTAAAGAGACTTGGAAGCTCTTGAAGGAGCTTGAAGATTCTTAAATAGGCTTGAACAGAGCTCTAGGCAACATCCACCAACAATAACTTTATTGGCCACATGATGTTATTTGCATGGAAAATTTGCAATATTTAAAGAAAAAATCTCAATAAATCTCAAATAAAATATAAAATTTATTTACATGATTTTCTAATTTCTATTGAAATCTGCAAAATTCTTCATCAAAAATTCTGAACAAAATTTAAAGTGTATGTAAACAAAATTTGTGAATTCAATCAGATTCGATCTCAAGATATAAGAAAACAAAAGATAAAGAGTACGAAATATTGAAGAGCATTAAGGAAACATGTAGAAAAAATCTAAGAAATCACTAGGAAACATATTTCATTGTACAAATCTCTTGAGCTTTCATGCATACAAAATTCTGTATATAGTTTATCTATATTGTACTTTAACAGTTTACCTAGCTAAAAATATATGTTAGTATTTTTACATATATAAAAAGATTGCTTTATATTAAATTGATATTTTTTAAATTTTTTTCTATAGACCGTATGTACAATTTATTTCATTTTTAAGTTGCGTTGCCCTATTTAACTAGTTAAAGTCGAGCGATTAAGGCCAGAGCAACAAAAACGAATCCAGTCAAAGCTTTTGCTCTATATATATAGTGATACCATATAGCATGATGTATATATTGATATATATATATATCTATAATTGCTCACATTCTGCTGAGGCAACTGAAGGGGGTGCAAAATTTTAAAGCCAGCCGCTGCGTCGGCAGTTTCACACGTTTGGCTGCAATTAACCGTGTGCCGGCATTTAAGTGAAACTTCACAGTGCCTGTTATCTGTTAATGTACATTTCCACGGCTCATAAATGCACTGACAAAGAGAGACAGAGATAGGGAGAGAGAGCAACTGGGCAGCCCAAGTGTAGCCATCGTCACACGCTGCTTGACCAAAAAAAAAAAAAGAAAAAAAAATGAGAAAAATTGAAAGCAACTTCATGTTAAATTCAAGTAGCTTCCATGACCATAACGCCATATTGCTCGACTCTGTGTGTGTGTGTGTGCCGATTGCAGATTGCATTTGCGATTGGCAACAAGAAGGAAAAAATGGCTTTGAAGTGCGGCCCGCACAATTAAGCTCTCAACGCACAGCAGCTGCCACGGCAAACTGCCACAACAATTACATTAGCTATAGCTATAGCTATAACTGTATCTGTATCTGTATCTGTATCTGTATCTGTATCTGTGTCTGCATTTCAACTGATTCCTTTTCTTCTCTTGTTTGTCTCGTTGCAGCCTGCGATTGCCATCTGATCGGCTCATCTGGCAAGATCTGCAACAGCACGAGCGGTCAATGTCCGTGCAAGGACGGCGTCACGGGCCTGACCTGCAATCGCTGCGCCCCCGGCTATCAGCTAAGTCGCTCCCACATCGCACCCTGCATCAGTGAGTAATCGGCCGACATATATCACAATTACCAGATGGGCCCTACGCGACACATAAATAAGCAACTCGTTCTACAGAAACATAAACAATAATGAATTAATTGCTGGAAATTATCGATTTTTCTGGCATATCGATATTTATCGCTCTCGTTGATTGACTTAAGCTGGCTGTGTGCCATAGAAAGCTCTTTACTGTCACTAACTTCTGTAGGCTGAGAGCCGATGGACGAGCAGTTAGAAGAATGGGGTTCGAACAGGCAAAAGAATGCGGACACGATACGGATCGAAGAACGAGTAGACGAAGAAACGTAACGAACGACTGATAGAGCAATTGAAAGGCCAATACAAGTTATCAAACGGACGGAGAGACAGCAGAAAATATGGGTGAAAAAATTAAAAGACAAAAAACCGAAGAATCGACGAGTTAAACGAAATAACAAAACACTGGAAACAAGAGCAAGCAGAAGAACAGATGAATCTAAAA